CGTTGGCCTGGCTGGGTCTTGAACTCCTGACCTTGTGGTACACCCACCTCGGCCTCCTAAATGCTGGGATTACAGGCATGAGCCACTGTGCCTGGCAGTTTTTTTTAAATTCATGGTTCTTTTAGTTATCATTTTAAGATAATTAAGGCCCTTGGCATTAATCTCCATATTAAGCAATTCTTATACACATGAATAGTACAAAAATGATTAAATACAGAAAGTAAAATACAGCCAGGCATGGTGGCTTACACTTGTAATTCCAATGCTTTGGGAAGCCAAGGTGGGAGAACTGCCTGAGGACAGGAGTTCAAGTCCAGCCCGGGCAATAAAGCGAGACCCTGTTTCTTTTTTGTTTGTTTGTTCCTTTTTTTCTTTTTAATTACAATAGAAGTTGAAGCAAGACCCTATTTCTACAGGAAAAAAGAAAAAATTAGCCAGGCATGGTAGCATGAGTCTATTCTTAGCTACTTGGGATGCTGAGCTCAGGAGTTGGAGGCTACAGGGAGCTACAATACCACTGTACTCCAGCATGGGCAGCAGAGCAAGACCCTGTCTCTTCAAAAAAACAGAAACAAAAACACAATTAAATTAAAAACAGAAAGAGAGAAATACAATAGATCTGAATAAAAAAGAATTTAAAAATTTCACTGGCGTCTGGGAGTCTCTAGAACATGACGTGGACTCCCTCTGCTGGTTTCTAGTAGCAGCAGTTCCAGACACCAACAAAATCCCTGACAAAAGAGCAACAGAAGCCAAAGGGCTAATCTCCATTCATTTCTATTCAGATTAGGGGATGTTTCATAGTGGATCTGACTATGGGTCAATCAAAGGCAATACTAAAAATGATTGTGTTTTTACTACAACTACAAAAAAAAAAAAAGAGTAACCAGCATATTGTAAGTCTTAATTATTTGCGCTAATAGTTGGATAATTTAAAATTTATTTCCATGTGGAGTGCACTGTGGGGTTTTTAGCAGCATATTATCTTTCCAAAATAGACTTCTCTTAGTTTTCATTTTTGCTCAAATTAAGTTATTTTTAATATGGGCCCTTATAATTTATTTGGCCTTACTGGCCCTTATCCAATCTGAAAAACAGAGAAAAAAAGTATTGTGGAAAAATAAGCAAAGCCTTGGAGTATTTGAATAATGGATGAAAACATCCCAAATTTAGTGAAAAAGAAAGAGGTCAACAGCCACAGGGAATGTTGACCTATGATTAGTCCACAGAGCGCACATTATCACACGTGGCTATTTGAGAGAAGAAGAGAATGGTATTAACTGGTTACAGCTGGTAAAACTGTTACCACAACTTGCTTTTTACAGTACTATAATTCTACAAAACTCATGTAACCTTTAGTTTGTCCTAAATGTAACTAATAAACTAAAGCAGAATCAGCAAGCTTTCAACTTCCAGTACTGGCATGGTAGTCTGGTTGGTCTAATCCTGCCACAAATATAATAATAAAATATTAAAAATTCACTATTTAAAGGCACTGGAGTCTGACCGAAATCAGGCAGAAACTGCAACTGGTGAGATTTGGGAACGTGTGGCCTTTTGCCTGAAGCATTCCCCAATCCACTAACAGCTTGGTTGGTGTCACCTTACTAGCTTGAGGTTTCAGAGGACAACTCAAGTTTAGGGATGACAGAGTAGCCAAAAAATCAGGAGCAAGGCTCGAGGGAAAGGCAGAAGGAATATAGCTCAATTCATGCATATAAAATCCACACAAAGTTTTCTCTCACTGCTGAACTACACATACACAGAGGAGATCCCAGGCAGTCCATCAATAGAGCAAGCAGGTGGAAGCTGAAAAACACTGCAGGATTTCAGCTGCTGCCCAACACAAGAGAGATAAGAGTGTGGAGTCCAGTGTGAGTTGAGCCAAGCTGTCTGCTAGAACAAAAATCACATTTCAGAAGAATATAACAGAATCCAGAGTTTCCACAATGTCCAGTACCCAATAACAAATCACGACTTATAGGAAGAAAAAGGAAAACATGACACATATGCACCAAAATGCTGTCAACTCCAAGATGACCCCAATGATATAATTAGCAGTCAAGAATCTAAAATCAGCCATTATAAATATGTTCAAGGACTTAAGGGAAGAAAGACACCTAATAAATAAAAGGGGTGTTTTAGCTAAGAAATATGAATGATGGGGAAAAAAATGGAAATTCTACAGCTAAAAAGTAAATTGAAACAAAATGTTCACTGGATTGAATTAATAGCAGATTGAAGATGGCAGAACAGTTATTCAAGTTAGAGCATTAGAAATTATCCAATCTGAAAAACAGAGAAAAAAGTATTGTGGAAAAATAAGCAAAGCCTTGGAGTATTTGAATAACGGATGAAAACATCCCAAATTTAGTGAAAGACATCAACCTATAGATCCAAAAAGCTCAACAAACCCCAAACAAGAAAAACTACCTCTAGGCATACCATAGTCAGACCACTGGCATACAAAGAGAAAATCTTAAAAGTAGCCAGAGAAAAATAATACATTATATATAGGATTAAAAAAAAAAACACCATTAAGAAAACGAAAAGGCAAGTGAGACTGGGAGGAAATATTTACAAAACATATCCAACAAAGGACTTGTATCCAGACTGAAAAGTGAAAACGAAACAACTTGCTAATCAAAAGAAACAACCCGATTTAAAAAAAAAAAATGAGTAAAAGATTTGAACAAACACTTCATAAATTAAGATTTACATTGGCCAATAAGTACAAAGAAAGGGCTCAGCATTTGTCATCAAGGAAATGCATTTTAATACTACAATGAGATGTCACTTCATACATTCTAGAATGGCTAAATTAAAGACTGACAACAGTAAATGTGAACCAACCAGATGTTCACATATAGCTGGAGAGAATAAAACAGTACAACCAGAGCTCACTTTGGCAGCACATATACTAAAATAACAAAATGGCACAACTGGCCCAGCATAGTGGCTCATGCTTGTAATCCCAACATTTTGGGAGGCCGAGGTGGGAGGAATGCTTGAGGCCAGGAGTTCAAGACCAGCACAAACAACAAAGCAAGACCCTCTCTCTACAAAAAAAAAAAAAAAAAAAATAGCCAGGCATGGTGATACATGTGTGCAGTCCCAGGACTTTGAAAGGTAGAGGCAGGAGGATTGCTTGAGCCCAGGCGTTTGAGGCTGCAGGGAGCTATCATCCACCTCAGAGCTCCAGCCTGGGCAACAGAACAAGACCCTGTCTCTTTAAAAAAAGTATCTGCGCCCAGGTGCAGTGGCTCACACCTGTAACCTCAGCACTTTGGGAGGCCAAGGTAGGCAAATCATGGATCACCTGAGGTCAGGAGTTCAAGACCAGCCTGGCTAACATGGTGAAACCCCGTTTCTACTAAAAATGCAAAAAATTAGCTAGGGGTGGTGGCACACACCTGTAATCCCAGCTACTCGGGAGGCTGAGGCAAGAGAATCACTTGAACCCAGGAGATGGAGGTTGCAGTGAGCCGAGACCATGCCATTGCACTCCAGCGTGGGCAATGAGGGCAAAACTCTCCAAAAAAAAAAAAGTACCTCAAAAAAGACTTATAGTCATACAGTGGAATACTACTACTACTGCACAATAAAAAGGAATGAACTATTGATCCATGTACAATATGGATGAATCTCAGACAATATGGTGAATGAAAGAAGCTAGACTGGCCAGGCGTGGTGGCTCACACCTGTAATCCCAGCACTTTGGGAGGCTGAGACAGGAGGATCACCTGAGGTTGGGAGTTTGAAACCAGCCTGACCAACATGGAGAAACTCCATCTCTACTAAAAATACAAAATTAGCCAGGCAGGGTGGCACATGCCTGCAATCCCAGCTACTCGGGAGGCTGAGGCAGGAGAATAGCTTGAACCTGGGAGGCAGAAGTTGCAGTGAGCCAAGATCGTGCCATTGTACTCCAGCCTGGGCAACAAGAGCGAAACTCCATCTCAAAAAAAAAAAAAAAAAAAAGAAAGAAAGAAGCTGGACCAAATGAATATACACTTTAAGAGTCCATATGTTTAAGATTAAAAAAAAATTTTTTTTAATGAGTAATTAAAAATATGAAGATAGGTCAAACATACATAGAGTCAAACAGAACTTCAGACTTGATACAGAATGGCAATAGAGGCTTGCTTCAAGTAGTTAAGCAGGAAACTACTGGCCAAGTGTGATTCAATACTTTATAGAGAGTAATTTTTACTTTTATAAACATTTTAAAAATGAAAACTCCTTAAGAGTAGGAAATGTGTCTAACTTGATTTGTTTTGGAGATATCTTAACACAGGTGAAATGTGTACAATAGTTTTTACAGCAATGAAGATAAAGGCATGGATAATGCATGATGACAATAAAACTTCTTTAAAAATGGTTCTGATTTCAAGTAAAAGAACAAGAGAATATAGATGTCAGAAGAGGCCATAAGGTGAATAATGTGAACACAATTTCAACATAAATAATCTTAACAGAGATTAAAATAAAGGATATTGTATATCTGATCCAATGTCAGACCTACCATCATATGTTGCTTAACAACAGGGATACATTCTGATAAATTCATTGTTAGGTGATTTTGTGTTGTGCAAACATCAGAGTATACTTACACAAACCCAGGTGGTTTAGCCTACTGCACACCTAGGCTGTACAGTACAGTCTATTGTTCCAAGGCTACACACGTGTACAGCATGTTATTGTACTGAATAGTGTAGGCAACTATAATACAATGCTAAATATTTGTGTACCTAAACATCAAAAAGGTACAGTAAAATATGGTTAAAATATGCATAATTAACTATTCCTCTACCCCCTCCTTTCACATGTAAAATGCAGATTCAGGCAGGGCATGGTGGCTCACGCCTTTATTCCCAGCACTTTGGGAGGCCGAGACAGGCAGATCACCTGAGGTCAGGAGTTCGAGATCAGCCTGACCAACATGGAGAAACCCCATCTTTACTAAAAATACATAATTAGCTGGGTGTGGTGGTACATGCCTGTAATCCCAGCTACTTGGGAGGCTGAGGCAGGAGAATCGCTTGAACCCGGGATGCAGAGGTTGCAGTGAGCTGAGATCACGCCATTGCACTCCAGCCTGGGCAACAAGAGCGAAAACTCCGTTAAAAAAAAAAAAAAATATATATATATATATATATATGTGCGTGCGTGTGTATATGTGTGTGTGTGTGTATGGTTTAGGGAACACGTATTCTATTTTATAAAATGAAGTGTTACCTGATTCTAGAATCACAAAGCCAATTGGGATGTTCAGTTTACACACATACAGTTTAAAAGCAAAGGTATACCTGTATAGGGCATTTACCATGCATGAAACTTTCAGGACTTAAGTCCCTCTGGGTGAGTCAGTGAATGAGTGGGGAGTGAATGTGAAAATCTAGGACATTACCGTACAGTACTGTATACTTATAAACACTTTACACTTAGGCTCCACTAAATTTATTAAATTTTTCTTTCTTCAATAATACATTAACCTTAGCTTACTGTAACTTTATTTGATAAACTTTTACATTTTAACTTTTTTACTTTTGTAATAATACTTAGCTTAAAACACAAAACACTGTACAGCTGTAAAAAAGTATTTTCTTGGTTGGGTGGGTGGATCACGCCTGTAATCCTAGCACTTTGGGTGGCCAAGGCGGGGCAATTGCCTGAGCTCAGAAGTTCAAGGCCAGCTTGGGCAACACAGTGAAACCCAGTCTCTACTAAAATACAAAAGAAATTAGCCGGGTGTGGCGCATGCACCTGTGGTCCCAGCTACTCTGGAGGCTGAGGCAGGAGAATTGCTTGAACCCAGGAGGCAGAGGTTGCAATGAGCCAAGATCGCACCATTGCACTCTAGCCTAGAAAACAGAGTGAGAATCTGTCTCTACAAAAAAAAAAAAAAAAAAGTATTTTCTTTATAGCCTTATTTTATATGTTTTTTTTTTTTCTTAAAATTTTTTGAGGGTCAGGATTATCAAGATGTCACTAGGTGATCAAAATTTTTCAGCTCCATTATAATCTTATGGGACCACCATCCTATAAGCAGTCTGTCATTGATGTAAACATTATTCAGCACGTAAGTGTATTTCAAATTTAGAGTTTTACTTTGCTATTCTTTTTTTTTTCTGAGATGGAGTCTCACTCGGTTGCCCAGGCTGGAACGCAGTGGTGCAATCTCACCTCACTGCAACCTCCGCCTCCTGGGTTCAAGAAATTCTCCTGCCTTAGCCTCCCTAGTAGTCTGGGATTACAGGCACCCATGACCATGCCCAGCTAATTTTTATATTTTACTAGAAACAGGGTTTCACCATGTTGGTCAGGCTGGTCTCAAACTTCTGATCACAAGCAATCCACCCGCCTCAGCCTCCCAAAGTACTGAGAACACAGGTGTGAGCCACTGCTCCCCTGCTATTCATTTTTTAAATTCTGGCTACAGTAACTACCCTATGCTAAATTTTATCTTATTCAAATACATTTACTATGGGGTGGGGTGGGGCCGGGGGATGTTCCTAGTAATGAAAGAAATTCCCACTTATTACCTTGTCCTGAAGAGTTTGCTGCCATTTTCCTATTTTGTTTCAATTATGTCCAGTGGCAGTTGGTCAGCACTTCACAATCATCTGTAAAATATGTGTACACACATATACAATGTACCATATTTTAATCACAGACTAAAAGGAACAGCTAGCCTTGTTACAATGCAATGTTGTAATCTCATCAGAAAGATACATTTGAAATGTACACGGACTGAAATCACAAATTTAAACTCTGCTAGTGCCTCAAGCATTTAATACTGCATTGTTTATTCTTGCAGATGTTCATACCATTTAGCATTACTGTCTTTAATAAACATTATTGGGTTGTATTTACCAAATATATCAACCAATTGATAGAGTCAATACAATCGTGGTGCTAGGAAGAAAAATCATTCATCTATGGGGCCTCTCCATTCGTCTAAAACACATACCCAGCAACTACTGTGTACACTGAAAGCTAAAAAAAGAAAAGGAGTACTGTACCTGCTCTGCACCATACACTGTGTAAGATGCTCGAAATTAGTTCCTTAATTTATTTATCACCATTTTATAGATGAGGAGACCATCCCCAGGGTCTTTGGGTTGCCGGTTTCCAAACTTCGTGCTTTCGTACTAAATCCTGGGGAGATCCAAGATGAGCAAGACCCTCTCCTGCTCTCAAGGAACATAAAACCCGATGGAAAAATAAAGTCTTATTCAACCATCCATACTATTAATAATAATTTTTTAAAAAGCTTAAACAAACGCTCTCTTTAAAAGGTGGGCACAGAGCTGGAGGCAAATGATCGATTCCATTGGGAGCAAAGAGTGATGCCTTAGTCTAGAGAGCCCGGGAAAGACACAAGGGATAGAAAACAGACACCGGTTTTTAATAAATGAATCGTTAGATGTCTCCTACGGCTGAAGCACACAGCGAGCAATGCCGGGTTAGGACGGGAGGACAATAGGGCCATCTTGTGACAGGGCTAGACAGGCGTGCCAGAAAGGTCCCTGCCCGCGGGCGTGCAAGGCCGGCTGAGCCTAGGCTGTGACGAGACGAAGGAAGCAAGTAAGAGCGAGAAATGCTGGGTGGCAAGGTCGGAGGGGAGGCCGCTGCCTGTAGCAACAAAGACAGCGGCGACAGGTCTGCACCGGGGCCACACTTTTCTATTCTCCGGTGCCGCCAGGCTGCCGTACTTACCTGGGACGCTAGGACGCCGGGACCGCCTCGACTTCCAATAGCTGCTCTTAAAGGGGGCGCGACCACTTAGGCAAAAGGAGCTCAACTCGCAGCACTACAACCTTCCCGCCCCCGCTGCGCTTCCGCCTCCTGACTGACGTGCGCCCCAGGGAGCGGAAACCCCGCCTCCCGCCGGGACCCAACGGCCACCGCCCGTCGTGATTCGCATTTTAGCTGCCACCTCAATGTAGACGTCACTTTTTTTTCCCAAAGAATGACAGTCGAAGAGGCTCACGGGAGATGCAACCGGTACTTTTGGGGGCGGGACTAGTGTGGGGCGTGGTCCGGGGCGGGGTAGGGGCGGGGCTTCTAGGCAGGGGCGGGACAGAGAATACCTGGGTCCCTAGCACCAAAGCTGCCTTTTTCTGCGTTGCCACTGCCTGGCCGATTGGCGACGGTGTGAGTCCACCTCGGCCTCGGAGAAGAGAGTCCAGAGGCTAGGGTCGCTCTCGAGGTTTAACAACCATCTCGGATTTCGCATCTGCACACACACACACACACACACACACAGAGGAATATTTTTGTCTACAGTTTACATAATTACACACAATGAAAGCACTGAATATGGAGAATTTTATTACAGTGAAATAATCTATATTGAAGAAGTGGGTGTGTCAGATCACAGAACACCAAGATACTACTAGTGGAATCACCTTCTCCACACCTAATTCTAGCACAATAGGTGTCTACACATTTGCATTAAAGGATAATTTTATATCGACATGTGTTCAAATTGCACTTAATTTAAAAAAATGTTTTTTTTTGTAGAGACAGTGTCTCACTTTGTTACCCAGGCTGGTCTTGAACTCCTGGCCTCAAGGGATCAGCCCACCCCAGCCTCCCAAAGTGCTAAGATTACAGGTATGAGCCACCCTGCCCTGCTTAAAATTTAAGTTTCTTAATCTCTTCCGAAAGATACATTTGAAAAACACACAGATTTAAATCACAAATGTAAGCTCCCCAAGCGCCTCAAGCATTTAATTAAATAGAATGGATAATGAATTTGAACATATGTTTTTAATAATCGATGTTTGCTCAAGAGTAAAATGTTTATGATGCACAATTTTCTTGTGCATGGATCAATGACTGAAATAATCGTTTCAGTACGAAGTATTTACTCAAAACCAAGCATTTATTTACTCTATACCAAGCAGCTATTGAGTGCCTTCTACAATGCGAGGTGCTTCCTGCGCATCAGCTCTGGTTCTGTTGTTCCCTGATTTATATTTGAGACTTGTGTTTCTTGCTCTATGTCAAGTAGCCAGCTGAGATTCAAATTGAAAGTTCTGCCAGATGTTAATGCCAAGTTCTTCAATCTCACACATTGCCTCTGCTCTGGAGGAAGGAATTCCTCTGAGACCAGTTCTTGCTGACTTGACTTTAATCCAGATAGAAAGCCTAACACATTAGCATTTTGATGATAGGCCAAGAGCCCTTTGGACTTTGTGAGTTCTAGTATGACTAAAAAGATGACTGAGCTCTATATGGCTGATAGAACCTTAGAATTTTTTTTGGTTTTGTGGCCTAGCTAGACAATATAGAAACTAGCTAGACAATATAGAAAGTTCCGGTCTAAGTGTCACGTGGATGCTCTGAACAAAGTTTATTTATAAGGGCTGAAAAGAGGGTTTTAATCCTAAGCAACATTTTATAATTTCGTAGCAAATTCAGCCTCTGAGAGTTGAAAGAACATTGTCAGAAGAAAGATAAATTTAACTTGCTGCTGATTCTTTTGCCTTTTACTTGATAGGGCATAACCCTTGAAACCCTTCTGTCATCTCCTAGAGTTTTTGGAACTTCTGCCTCACTGTGTTAGCCTCTAACACGTGGTTAATAGTGGATCAGTTTACTTGAGTGCAAATCCCAGCTTTAACATGTAATGGTGGTGAGCCCTGGTTTCACCTTTTGGCATCTCTGTTCTGTCATCTGTAAAATGAGAAAAAAAAAAGATTGGGTATAGGTAAATCACTTAGACTAGCACCTAGCACATAGTAAATACTCAATAAATGTTGGCAATTAGATTACAAACAATGAACAGTCTTTTTTACTGGGTATCTTCGCAAGTGGTCAGTAGGTCAGCTGAGCCTGGGTGTGGTGGCTCATGCCTGTAATCACAGCAATTGGGGAGGCCAAGGCAGGAGGATAGCGTGAGACCTCATCTCCAGAAAAAAATTAAAAATTAGCCAGGCATGCTGGTGCGTGCCTGTGGTCCCAGCTATTTGGGAGGCTGGGATAGGAGAATTGCTTGAGTCTTGGAGGTCAAGGCTACGGTAAGCTATGATTGTGCCACTGCACTCCAGCCAGGGCTTGCAATCAGAGGGGCAGACTAAAAATTATCAGCAATAGGCCAGGCACAGTGGCTCATGCCTGTAATCCCAGCACTTTGGGAGGCCGAGGTGGGTGGATCATGCGGTCAAGAGATCAAGACCATCATGGTCAACATGGTAAAACCCTGTCTCTACTAAAATACAAAAATTAGCTGGGCGTGGTGGTGGCACGTGCCTGTAGTCCCAGCTACTTGGGAGGCTGAGGCAGGAGAATTGCTTGAACCCAGGAGGCAGAGGTTGCAGTGAACCCAGATCACACCACTGCACTTCAGCCTGGCGCCTGGCCACAGAGCAAGACTCTGTCTCAAAAAAAAAAAAAAAAAAAAAAATTATTAGCAATGCCTTCAGGGTCATTCTCCCATTGTCTTGTTGAATAGCACCTGGCTCCCTTCTATTCCCACTAATTTTGTTACTAAAGGTAGCCTGGCCACATCCTTGGTTTTCTTCCATATATATATATATATGTAAAAATATATGTATATGTATACATACATATACATATATTTTTTTTTCCAGTGGCGCAATCTTGCCTCACTGCAACCTCCACCTCCCGGATTCAAGCGATTCTCCTGCCTCAGCCTCTCGAGTAGCTGGGGCTACAGGCGCACACCACTATACCTGGCTAATTTTTTGAATTTTAGTAGAGACGGGGTTTCACCATGTTGGCCAGGATGGTCTTGATCTCCTGACCTAGTGATTTGCTAGCCTTGGCCTCCCAAAGTGCTGGGATTACACCATGAGCCACCATCCCTGGCCATATATATATATTTTATTCTTTACTTGGCCAGGCTGAGACTTTTCCCTATCTTTATATTATGCTTCCCTTTTGATTATAAATTTCATTTTTTTTTTTTTTGAGGCAGAGTTTCGCTCTTGTTATCCAGGCTGGAGTGCAATGGCGCGATCTCGGCTCACCGCAACCTCCGCCTCCTGGGTTCAGGCAATTCTCGTGCCTCAGCCTCCTGAGTAGCTGGGATTACAGGCATGTGCCACCATGCCCAGCTAGTTTTTTGTGTTTTTAGTAGAGACGAGGTTTCACCATGTTGATCAGGATGGTCTCGATCTGTTGACCTCGTGATCCACCCGCCTCGGCCTCCCAAAGTGCTGGGATTACAGGCTTGAGCCACTGCGCCCGGCTATAAATTTCATTTTTAAATCATTTCTCTCTTCTTGCATTTTACTGTAAACAGTTAGGAGAAGCCACACAGCACCCTGACATGAATGTTCTGCAGCATAGAGATTTCTTCTGCCAAATATCATAGTTCATCACTTTTTTTTTTCTGAGACAGTTTCACTCTTGTTGCCCAGGCTGGAATGCAATGGCATGATCTCAGGTCACTGCAACCTCCGCCTCCCAGGTTCCAGTGATTCTCCTGCCTCAGCCTCTCAAGTAACTGAGATTACAGGTGCCCACCACCACACCTGGCTTATTTTTGTATTTTTAGTAGACACAGGGTTTCACCATGTTGGCCAGGCTGGTCTCAAACTCCTGACCTCAGGTGATCCACCCGCGTTGACCTTCCAAAGTACTGGGATTACAGATGTGAGTTACCATGCTCCAGCCTCATCACTCGTGGAAGTTCTGCCTTCCATGAAGTCTTGGGACACAAATATAATTCAGCCAAGTTGTTTGCCATATTATAACAAAGATGACCTTTCCTCCAGTTTCTCATACTTCATTCCTCATTTCCATCTGAGACTTCATCTGAATGGCTTTCACATCTATATATTTACCAACATTCTGTTCACAACAACTTAAATAATCTTTTACAAGATTCAGACTCTCCTACAACTCTCCTTTTCTGAGCCCTCACCAGTCACCCTTAATGCTCTGTTCATAGCAATGCAAGCTTTTTTTTTTAAGTTATTATAGGGACGGGGTTTCACCATGTTGGCCAGGATGATCTCGATCTCCTGACCTCGTGATCTGCCTGCCTCAGCCTCCCAAAGTGCTAGGATTACAGGCGTGAGCCACCTTGCCCAGCCAATACAAGCTTTTTATTCACCATTCACTTCACAACTGTTGAAAGCCACTTCCACGTTTACATGTTTAGGTCTTTGTTATAGCAACACCTCACTCTTCTGGTAACAATTTCTGTCTTAGTCCATTTTGTGCTGCTACAACAGAATATCTGAGACTCACTAATTTTTTTTCTTTTCTTTTCTTTTTTTGGAGACTGTGTCTCGCTCCATTGCCCAGGCCAGAGTGCAGTGACATGATCTTGGCTCACTGCAACCTCTGCCTCCCAGGTTCAACCAATTTTAGTGCTTTACCCTCCTAAGCAGCTGGGACTATGGGCATGTGCCACGACACCCAGCTAATTTTTTGTATTTTTAATAGAGACAGGGTTTTGCCATGTTGGCTAGACTGGTCTCAAATGCCTGACCTCAAGTGATCTGCCTGCCTCAGTCTCCCAAAGTGCTGGGATTACAGGCATGAGCCACCATGCCTGCCCAGGATTGGGTAATTTATTAGGAATAGAAGGTTTTTTTTTCATAGTCTGGAGGCTGGGAAGCTCAAAATCAGGGCACCTGCATCTGGTGTTGAGTGAGGGCCTTCTTGTTGTGGCCTCATGTAGCAGAAGAGCAGAAGAGAGTAAACCCACTCCCACAAACCCTTTATATAGTGACATTAATTTGTTCATGAGGTCAGTGCACCTGTGACCTAAACATCTCCCTTTAGGTCCTATCTCCTAACGCTGTTGTGTTTTTAACATGAATTTTTGAAGGGGACAAAAACATTCAAACTACAGCACACTGTACAACTAATATGCTGATCAGCATTAC